ACTGATGGCATAGGCTACAAGGCCAACTCAATGTTGATATATAGTTTTACCTTATACGTATTTTACATCTCTATATTACCAGTTTATGTATAAATTAAACCCTATTATTAGCCACAATTATACCTTTGCCATCGGTACATAACTAATTTTATTTAATTACTTGTTTTATAACTTACATAATTTCGTTTACACAACATTATCATAGCCGTCATTGTTTTAGCATCCTTGTTTCATTTTCAAGAATTTAATATTGTTTTTGGAAAAAAAATTACAAGACTCAGAAGTGCCAGAACATCTCAACAGTTTCTTTAAGCCCCCTACACCTTATTATACTTTGTAAATGCTAAATTTAAAGTTCTTTTACATTCAAACCTATTTAGTAAAAGTACTTAAAGAATCAAAAAAATTTGTATTATAATTGCTTAAACAATAGCAACTCAATGTTAAAACTGGAATATGTAAAAATTGTAATAAACTTTTTATTTTAAGGCAAACAGTTCAATGCTGCTCTTGTAAAAATTGGTTTCAATGTGAATGCAAAAAAATCAATGCAAAAACCAAAGATCTTTGAAAATGTCAAGAGTGTTAAAAAAGATAACAAAATAACTAAAGACTTGGTAAATTTTATTACTTTTAAATGCTGCAATAGGCTTTATTAATATGTAAATGATTAATACGAAAGAGTAGGGTACAATGATACAAAAAAAAATACAAGTTATAAAATTCTCTAAATAGATGCTACACATTGAGATGATATATCGACAACTTAATCTGCAAACAAGATAACTCTGCTATTTTGTAAAATCAAGACTGTTGCGGAAAACAGTTTCTAAGGCATTATTGTACAAATAAGTCATTTTGCTTTTAGTAATGATTTTACATAAATATGAAAAAATCACAATAAAAATCCATCTAAATGTATATATGGGCTTATGAAATAATTTTATGTTGCTCCTGAACAATTAGGTTTTCTAAAGTTATCTCATTCGCGGATTAAGCCGTCCATATGGGATTAAGTGAGACAATATCCTTTTGTAATATAAAAAGTTAACTGTCACACTTGATACCGGTTTTGTAATCCCTTTTATCCACCCTTCGCAATCATTATAATCCCATTTATGTGAGGTTCGACTATTATTTTCTACTTTTGTCATCACAAGGGAAAGTATCAAAAGCGTAATATTTATATTGGTTTTAGTTGCTACTAGTACTTGTTTTTAATACAAATATTTTTTTTCTTTGAGTTTCGACTTTCAGTTGTATGACCTTTCTATTAGTACCATTGTTGCATGATTTTTTTTTTTCCTGGTTTTGGTTATCGCCTAAACCGTTTAGGGCTCAACAATGTTTGCAGGGCAGTTGTTTCACTTCCAGCCGATATCACCTTAAAATCCTAAAACGTTACAGTTTGTGTTAGTGTTGCATCCAACGCCACGTTTAAGATGTGTGTTCCATTTTTATTGGGAGCTGAATGATATGACACAACGTTTGATATGAATCAAGTAAACATCGGAAATCTTTTATTTATTAAATTTTGATAATTATTTTTTAATATTTATCAAGATTTATCAACCTTTTTATATTATGACTCCGTACTCCATATCTCAGAGTACCACACTCTTTCATAAAAATGTATATGTATTAAAGTTGGATTATTATATTTTGTAAAATATAAAATTCATTTTATATTTATATTATTTTATTATTCTTAATTGTGTTAATTATTATAACCTAAAGAATATTAAAGAACACTAAGATTTAATGTAGCAATATATAAAATTGTTTTTTTTATAAACATTGAATTATAAAAAGTTTGTTGCATCAAACGCTTTTTATGAAAATAAATTTATAATAGTTTTTAGCAAAGGACAGAAATTTTTCCGACTTTGACAATATAAGCAATGTAATATGGTTATCAATGCGACACTTCAAAAAACGGTTATTTTCATAGCCACATATATTTAAAGACATTATGTATCTGAACATTTATTTAATGGTGTGAATGCTAAGAGATCGTAGCATTGTATCTAAAGTAAGCAAAGTTTTTGTTGACAATTTTTCATTATGATATATATATATATATATATATATATATATATATATATATATATATATATATATATATATATATATATATATATATATATATATATACATATATATATTATATATATATATATATATATATATATATATATATATATATATATATATATATATATATATATATATATATATATATATATATATAATATATATATATATATATATGTATATATACTATAACGGTACCTTTGTATGATACTTACATGACTTACATGTATACTAAATATATATTTTCTTTAGTTGCTTGCCAATCGTCGCATGCAGCAATTTCAATGACCCGAGTTTAAAGGAAATAAAAAACATGTTGTATAACTGTTGTAAGGTAGGATTGTCCAATATTTTGAAAATGGTTGCATGTAATGAGTGCAGTTGGGTATATATATATTTATTTTATTTGAACATTTTAAAAGTATATTTAAAATAGAAATAATTGTATTTTTTATTTCTTATTTCAACTGAAAAACGTACCAAAAAAAAACTTTATTTAAAAGATTATTGTAGAATGTAAAATTAAACAGTAGTTTAAAAAAATATAAATATTTAACAAAATACTTAATAAATCGCAGAGAACTAGTCTTATTTTTTATAAAACGATCAAATAGTCACATAAAATAACATGAATAAATTGTCGGTATGATCCAAAGTGAAACTAAAGTTTTCAGGAAATTATTAGTGCTGTACCTTATAAAATGACTTTCTTTTATTTGACGATAAAACCTTATCCCTTTTTATTGTTTTTTATTATTTTTTTATGAATTTAAAATGTAGTTTTCTAACCGGTCGGTATGATGCTAAGTGGATCCACTTAGCATCATACCGACCGGTTAGAAAACTACATGGAATTACTGTATTTCCAATTTGTTCTGCACATAACGGTTAGAGAAGTACACTTTATAACCAGAACAAAAAATAGCTAACTGGAAAGTTAACGTTTTATTATCAAATTCAAGAAATTGATTTCTTCAGATACAGTACCAATAAATTCCTGTTGATCTTTTTTTTTTCTTCTTCCATGAAAGAAGAAAAAAAAAAGATCAACAGGAATTTATTGGTACTGTATCTGAAGAAATCAATTTCTTGAATTTGATAATAAAACGTTAACTTTCCAGTTAGCTATTTTTTGTTCTGGATATAAAGTGTACTTCTCTAACCGTTATGTGCAGAACAAATTGGAAATACAGTAATTCCATGCTTGCGTTTATGCATGTTTTAATCAAGAAAACAAAAGTTTACGGTATTTAGATTGCAAAAATAAAAAAATTATAACTTTGTTATAATATTGCAATAACCTAACCGTATTATAAAAGTTAAAGTGTTCATAACTTTTATATTGTAACATATATCTCAAAATACGCGCGTTGCAGCGTGGATTTTTTTTTGTAATAACTGATAAAATACAAAGTATAAAATAAAGTTTTACTCTAAAGATCATAACGACGGCTAAATCTGTAGACGAGATAACTCCCGTTGCACCAAACTGTGCAGGAGAAACAAACATATTTCATATATACACTTACAAGGATTTTTATTGTTATTTTTCATATTTATATATTTAAAATTGTTATTGAAAATAAAATGACGCATTTGTACAATGTCTTATGTATAAAAAAATCCTGCCGAAAAGAGTCGATTTAACAAAAAAGTTATCTTGTTTGCGGATGAGGCCGTCAATATATTTCTTTACCAAATTAATATAAACTTTAAAAATTTTTTATACTCATGGATATTATTAAACTACATTTCCTCGATATAGCAAAATATAGAGGCATGTGGAATTGCTCCATAGCTCATGAAGGTAAAGTGAACGTCTTTAGCTTTCTCAAACAGCAGTGCTTTATTGACAACATGACGTCTTTTGGACGTAATTTGATTGAAATCATCGAAAAGACGTTATCTGTTTGCTTATGAAGGAATTGTAACGTAAAGAGATTTTTTTTCTTAAGTCGTCTAAAGCAAAGCTCGAAGCTTTTTTTTTTTTTTTTTTTTTGGTCCGTGGCATGAAGAATTTGCCGTGCTGCTTAGAATAAAAAAGAAAATTTTACTCTGAATACGACATATTTCTTGTTCCTGGCTATAATTTTTTTTGGAACGAGTTGTAGTCATATTTATTTTTTGAATTTTTCAGTACGTTTGTTTATTTTGAATGCAATACTCATATAAAACAGTAACCCAGTAATCAATGCGGTAGTAGTGTAGTGGTAAAGCGCTCGCTTCATAAACGAGTAGTTCCGAGTTCGATCCCCACCACGTCCCTGGTTGTACCGCGCTCAACTCGTTTCTCCGCGCATCGGCCTTGTTCGTCAAGGTTCGTGTTTCGGAGTTATAGAGTTGAGAGAGGGTTATAGCCACAAATAAGTAGCCTCCTCGTCTGTAGTGGCCTTCTCGGCCTTGAGGAGGTGAATTAAAATAAAAAAAAAAAAAAAAAAAAAAAAAAAAAACCCGATAGTATTCGATGAGGTTTTCGTGAAATTAACCGCGTACTTAAAAAATTCTAGAATACGCATTGGTTACAAATGTTTGTTAGAATGTTGTTGTTGTATCGAACTCATAGCAGAAGTGCATGCCTAATACATATAAAGACAACCACAGAAAATAATCATCTCGCATTTGAATCTTTTGCAAACGCTATTTATACACGTATTCGCTGTAAAAAAACAAAACAAATCTTAATACATAAAAGTTTTATCATATCAACTTGTACTTTAAAAAAACTTTTAATGTTTATTTTAATACATTTTTTATCAAATTTTCGGTTAGGTTTCCAATGGAGTCACCAAGATTCTTAACACCAATTTGCCTAAAAATATTTTAAATATCAAAAGAATTTCCATAACTTGTTTATCTAAATAGAATCTATATAGATAAAAATCTTATCTAGGTAAAAAAAATTGGATATAAAGTAAGCATTAACCAGGGTGGCCACAAAATTTTTATAAGAAAAATTGGTTATTAGAAGATTTTAGAGGAGATTTTGAATCTAATTTAGAGGATTTTTTTCTAACTTCAAAAAAACTACAAAATTTGAAATAAAAATTGAGGATTTTAGAGGATTTTTTATAAAGGTTTAACACCCATGTTTCCACATAACTGGAGTTAGGACAGGGGTCAACAATGTCATTTTTTGTTAGATGACATAAAATTAATTTTTTTACAGACCATGAATTTTAAACAATACACTATCATCACGAAATTGAAATAATAAAAAAGAGGAGTAAAAGAAGAGATAATATGATATTTTTAACTTTTTAGAGGATAGTAGAGGGTTTATATGGTGTGTTAGCTAAAGCTAGAGGCCACCCTGTTAACGTAAAATGTAAGCTTTAACGTAAAACACAAATTTGCACAGAACTCAATGTTACAAAAAGTTAAAATGAGGTTAAATGTTTAATTTAATATGAAACTAATTATATAATTATATATTATTATGAAAATTTAATAATAAAATTATATAATGATATGAAATATTAATATTAATAAAATATAAAATTATATATTAACACGAAAAAATACTTAAATAACAATATTATTACATAAACTTACTCAATAGAAAAGCAGTGTGTCCGTTAAACTGTTAAATTGGCTGCCGCTTTTTTTCTCTCTAGTTTTTTGGATAGTAAAAAAAAAAATGCAGTAAGCAGTGAACAATCATCAGATGATTTGTAAATAAAGTGCAGGTTTCTTTTCAAGGTCATTGGTTGCAAACAGAAAATTTTTAATAAAAAAAACAGGACTATGGAAATCTAAAAAACAAGATTGTTTTTGGAAAAATAGCAATTTTATGATAAAATTAAAACAAAAAATTTTATAAACTATAAATGAAAAAATAAAAACGTTTAATAAGCAATAAAAAGTTTATATATACCATGTATATAAACCAAGTGTAACAAAAAAATAAATAAACAAAAAGCTAATATAATGCTTTGTGAATGAATGATAGTATCAAATTTCAAAAACTCATGTAAACAAAGAAAGAAATTACAAATTTTTTTAAAATTTTAAACATTTTTTTTGTTTTAACTTTATTTCACTTCTTTATCTTTCTAATTTTTAAGCTTAACAATGCACTTAGTTTTCTTTCAAGTTAACGTCCTGAATTCACACAAATTTGTTATAATGTGAACTACAGATATCTAGAACTCAAACTTCTAGTGACTTAAATTACTTTCAAGTTTTTATCTATGATAATGCTATGATATATATATATATATATATATATATATATATATATATATATATATATATATATATATATATATACATATACATATATATATATATATATATATATATATATATATATATATATATATATATATATATATATATATATATATATATATATATATATCAACTTTTTATCTATGATAATTTCAATGATAATATGATAATTTCATCTATGATAATACTTTCATCAACGGTAATACTAATACTTTAATAACTTAGCTCAAGTTGTTTTAACATAAAAATGTACACTTTAGTGTTTTTTTTATACAAATGTTCCTTTTACTTATTGCAATATCAGCTTTATCATTGCACTTTTTTTGATTTGGTAGAATTTGCCTATAATGATAAAAAATTCAGGTTTCTTTTTTTTTTCAAGATCATTTTTTAACTTTTGATTTGCATTTTAGTAAAGCTGCACTGAGAAGTGAACACCTTAAAGATGCATAAAAAGTTTAAAAAAAGTATAACAGAATGATATAAAAGTACAAAATGATGTCCAGTGAAAAACAAAGAGCCTCTATAGTATCTAAGGAATCTTTTTGTTAGACTATCCCTTTGTGTTATCCCAAAAAGACCATTTTCAGGGTATCCCATCAGGATAATTGCCACAGACTTTTGCAATCACACAAAGCGACATTATTTTGAAACAAAGAACCCCACTAAGTGTCTTCTGGTCTCACTTAGAGGATACTTAGTGAGAACAAATTGCATACAATTGTAAGTGATTTTTTGATATAAGTGACAGTAAGTGCAATGATTTGTTGCAGTAAAATGAGGGTCGGTGAGAGTTGTGAATTGGTTTCAGTTTTTATACCTTTGCATGTGACGTGAATAGTGAATTTGGAGTATGTGTGTAGTAAACGACCGGGGTTGATTTTGACCGGGGCCGCGTTTGATAAATTAAAGCTGGAGCTGGGTTTGTGACCCGTAGTTGCATAAACATTTATAAAACCTAAAGTATTTTTTTTATTCAAAGTTCATGTTATATTTTGTATACATATATGCATACAAAAACATCTATATAATCATAATTATCATCACAATCATTATTTACATCATCATCATCATCATCATCATCATCATCATCATCATCATCATCATCATTTTCATCGTCATTATCTTCTAATTAAATGCTCCCCATTAAATGCTCTTCCGCGGTGCTCTGTGAAA